AAAAAAACACTTCAACAACGATCCTACAATTACCTATCTCCATTAACAGGCACAATGAAATGGTCCTTTCTGGTCTATTGATAGTGATAGTGTGACTCTTGAAATATATATAGTCGCAGGAAATTTGGTATGGTTCATTCATTGCTTGTTTATACTGCGAAGATGTTTCTACTCTTGGTTGCTATTATAGTCTGTATTGCCCTATACATGTACTTACAGCAGGAGGTGATGAATGCTTAGCATCTTTATTTAACGCTTATTATAGAGATATTTAGGCTGATCAAGGAGGTGCGGAAGTAAGTGCTCTGAAGGGAAGGTTTGGTCCACTAATCAAAAAGATAGATGTTTAGAAAGGTTCAATACGTACAGCGGTCACAAAAAAAGAAACTCAGAAAGGAGAACTCCCTAGTACAGCTGTAACTGTAAGGGTTTGCTATCAAATTTACATGTAGTTTCGCAAAAGTAGTGTATAAGTACTTAAAAGTCGTTGTCCTTCTTGTAGTGGTAACTTAACTAGATCTACTTTTCGGAAAGGAGGTCTAGCGGTATAGGTTATTTACTTTCATTGGTCAAAGCTGATAGGATTCTGTTGTATTTTGTGAAAGTTATTTTTTTTTCTTTTTTTTGGCAAGGAAAAGAGGTCATACACCGGAAAGTGGACTACGTCAACTTTTCCAACATCGGTGTAGATTCAATAATAGCCGTCCGCAGTCTGTGGTTTCTTAGCATCAAAACAATGAAATGATTTGGGAAAGTACCTTACAAACCGCTTTGCTTACTTATTTTTACAAACCACTTTAACTATTTTATAACTAGTAATTAGGTGACTAACTGAGTATCAAGTAACTCCATTTTTAGCGTGCTTCGGGGATGGCCGGTTGCATATCCTAGAATTCTTTCTTACTGTTTTAGCTGTCAGCAGAGATTGTCACTCGCGTTAAGAGAAGCGCTCTATTAGCAGCTAGGAATAATTTGATGAGCGGTTACATTGGTCCTTACTTACATAACGCACTTATGAGCTTTTCCTATTTGCCAATGCGATAACGCTTCCAATACCTTCTATGATGGTTTCGCCATGCTACCCTTTTGATATAATAATCGTTTAGACGCAACCTATCGCACCTATGGAAGAACCAAAGAAGGTAATCAAAATCTTTCAAGATTTGAGTTTTTTAGAAAAATACAGTTTTTAAGGAGCCCGCACCACCACCTCCTCCAGCAGCCGAGCCTCCTCCTCCCGAAAAACCAGCAGAACCAGTTCCACCGCCTGACAAGGCTGTTGAACCTACTCCATCAGCGCCGGCACCTGGAGATCAGACTGCTGGGCCGCCACCAAGAGACAAGCCTGCGGATGCTGCAGTGGAACCGAGTGCACCGCCAGCAGGAGAAAAGCCCGCAGAGCAAGCTCCACCACCACCAGGAGATAAGCCCGCTGAACAAGCTCCACCACCGCCAGGAGATAAGCCTGCAGAACAAGCTCAACCACCATCAGCAGATAAACCTGCAGAACAAGCTCCACAGCCACCGGGAGAGAAACCAGCAGAGCAAGCTCCACCACCACCAGGAGACA